GTCTGATTCTAGTTTTATTCATTTCAATAGAATGTCCCATTATAACATCATAAAAAGGTGTTGGTATAATTAGTATCAACTTTTTTTTCAAGATACCAATAGGAACTGAGTTCTACAATCTACTGTTTGTAAAAAAAAAAAAAAGTTCCTTTTGAAAATCACATTATAAAAGAATAAAAGAATATTTCTACTTTGTCAGAAAAAAGAAGGCACCTACAATTCTAGACTTAAAGAATTTAGACTTTTAGGGAGTCAACAGGTAGTGTGGTGGTTAAGGTGCTTCGATTCCCACACGGCTGACCACGGTTTGAGTTCTATACCTGGTGGCTTGCTTGTTCCCTCACATGCACACTCTCTCTCTCTCGCAAAACTCATGTGGAAAAAATAATTAATTAATTAGTTCGTTAAAAAAAGGACTTTAGACTTTTAATATTCTTTATATGTTACTCTAAGTAAATGAACAGATCTTCAACAAGATATTGAATTAGTGATCTGAATTTCACTGCCACTAAAATATATGAAGAATGTTTCCTATGATGAATTTTCTTATAAACAGGCAAGCAATCTTATTTAATTTGATATTGAACATATATTCTTTTTAGTATGATATGCTCACAAATTAAAATGTATAAAAGAAATCAATGTATAAAGACTATATTCTTAATGGTTCCTGCCCATCAAATGGCTCCTGCATTTACTAACAGCATCAGTAAAAAATACTGCTGTATAGTATCTGGCACACTACAGTATACTGCTGGACGGTATCTGGCGCACTACAGTATACTGCTGGACGGTATCTGGCGCGCTACAGTATACTGCTGTATAGTATCTGGCACACTACAGTATACTGCTGGACGGTATCTGGCGCACTACAGTATACTGCTGGACGGTATCTGGCGCGCTACAGTATACTGCTGGACGGTATCTGGCACACTACAGTATACTGCTGGACGGTATCTGGCGCGCTACACTATACTGCTGGACGGTATCTGGCGCGCTAAAGTATACTGCTGGATGGTATCTGGCGCGCTACAGTATACTGCTGGACGGTATCTGGCGCGCTACAGTATACTGCTGGACGGTATCTGGCGCGCTACAGTATACTGCTGGACGGTATCTGGCATACTATAGTATACTGCTGAATACTATCTGGCATCAAACACATTAATATACTTTCCTATTGGGGAAACAGGACTGAAACAAACACTGTACTTGAAATATATTCTGCACCACACTGTTTGAAAATACAGAGAGATAAGTATTATGCTTTCTCTACCATAATGAGAAAAATATATATAAATAACATATGTAAATATATACATAATACGTATATAAATACATTTTCTCTACTTTCCTTTTAGAAAATAAGGGGTTAAAAAACAGCCAGGCAAAGAATACTAGTAAGTAATTACTGAACTTACTACAAGCCCAGCATTCTGCAAATGACTTGGCTAGGCAAAATAGAAATGAAGGCATAATCTCTGTCACATTTAAATTTTTTCTTGGATGACATACAGTTCCCAAGTAACACATGGACAGAGCTTTAAGTGCTTTTAGTAGACACTAGTCAAGACTTTGGTGCTTTTTGTTTTTTGTGGGTTTTTTATTTGAGAATTTTCTTAAGATAGGGAGTGTGCACTCACTGGAGAGAAAGAGAAACAGAAGTGAAAAAATCACCCCCGGGAGGGGATGGTCATGCCACAATCCCTTCTCCTCCATTCTCCTCTTGGAATTTTGGACAAGCACACACCCGTGCCTGGCATCCTAAGCTACCAAGTGGAATTTGAACTGCAGTCAGCCATGTGGGAGTCCAGTGTCTTAACCACTATACCACCTGCTGGCCCCCAAAATCAAGTTGTTTTATAAAAAAGAAAAGTGTTCTGTATCCTTATTAGTCAAAATATGGTCCATAGACTTAGGGCCTCAGTACTATCTGGTAGCTTGTTAAAAAAGCAGAATTCAAGATGTTGTAGTCCCATGAAAAGAGAATCTAATCCATATTTTAAGCATATCCACAGGTATGTTATCCACATAACATGCACATTAAAGTTTAAGAAGCACTGTTCTGCACATTTCATGTTTAAGATATATGTATGCATTTATCACAAACATTATATTTCTCCAACTAAAAAAAAAAGTGTAAGTTTATGGTTTCTACCTTCTAATTGAGATTGTTAAAGTAAATCAAATAGGTCATTTTTTGCTTTGTAATTCCATCATAATTGTACTAGTCCCTATGAAGAATCCAAAAGAAAAGAAAGCATTCTTATATAAAATTGTACCCAATCTAGTCTAGCATGTATAAAATTATTAGAATTTAGGTAGTTGCTAATTTTGATGTGGACGATACATACAATAGGATATAAGAATAGGAGAGATCAATGTAAGCTAGAAACCTGACTTTGTAGGTACAGAGGAAACCAGATACAGAATCCCTGAGAAAAGACAGAGAGGAGGAATGGAGGTAAGAGACTTTTGAAAGACAGGCCTAGGAATTTCAACTTTATGAGTCATAGGACATCACTGTTGTTCTTTTTAATCAATGACATGGTGACACTCGTAAAATTATATTGATAGAATTAAAAATACTGTAGGAATAAATTAGACTTAGAAAGACAACCTAGAGGCTGAAGGTCAGAACTGTACATGTCAATTTGCTATTCATCAGCCTGCAGGTGCAGCTAAAATTCTAGGCACGGGGGCCCAACAGCAGCACAGTGATTAACTGCAACACTTTGTGTGGCTGCCCCTATGGGAAGGTCCAGATTCACATTCAGAGACCTCCCTGAGCACTGGGCACATGTATACTCATGATCTGGATCTGGCTGGGGCTGGGAGTGGAATACAGCAGTAAGAACCTGTTGTTGAGGGGCTGTATCATTCCCTATGTCACTCTCTGTCTCTGTGTCTCTCATTCATGGAAGAAATAAATAAATAAACTTTAAAATGATGTTGTAGGAGTGGATGAACACATCAGACGCTTGGAGAAAAGGGTGGAGAGCCATGAACAGATACCCAGTTCAGAAAACATGCAATGAATAGCAAACTATTTTCCCAGCATGGTGCTCCTCCCTGTGAAAGAATGGTGACCACAACTTGGGAGGAAAGGCCTGAAGGGCCAACTGGTCACCTTTGATCAGGAGCTGATTTAAGAAGAAAAGACAACAAAGAGACAACGAAAAAAGGACTATTAAAAGATTCAAAGAACCCAATATGCAGACAGTCCATGGTGGAAGTAACTCAGAAGCACCTAAATATTAAGAGAAATTTAGGATTTGATAACATTTTGAGAATATAGTATATTAATTTATGTGTTCAACTCCCTAAACAGTTATCTACTTTTTCAAGTTTCTAAATTTACAATCTAAATTTCCATGAATAAGAAGATTCTAATGTTAAAGTGCTTGCTATAACAAGCATTGCTTAGAAAGGACCAAAACCTCATAACATGTATATTGATTACTGTGCCTTCCTGATGCTCCAAAAATAATCAAAACAACAAAAAAGTTTATAAGCGACTTGCCATCCTCTATAATTATGACTGTCAAATTCATTTCCAGGTATTTATTTTTAAGACATTTAAAATTATTCATTAATAAGATCCAAAATTCTAATAAGAAAATTCAATGACATAAACTATAAGACTCACTTAAATTTAAAAGGCTATAGATTTTAATGTTTCTGTTTATTTATTACAACTAATAAGAAATTAAATAATCTACTTTCTTGTCTTAGGCTTAAAGAATAGGCTCTTACACTCCTCTCTAGTAATTAAAAAGCCATACTCAGGGGAGAAAAAAGGCATTAATCACAGGTTAGCTTGCTGGAGGTAAAGAAATTATTTTGTTTATTCTTGTGTGATTTCTTTTCTTCCTCTTTTTTTTAAAAGAAAATTTTTCCTCATGTGCTTGTTGGAGAGACAGAAAGCAAGAAATTACCTCCCGAGGAGAGATGGCAACACCACAATCCCTTCTCCTCAATTCTCCTCTTGGGATTTGGGTCATGCACACACATGTGCCAGGTGTGAGTTTTAAGCTGTGGGGTCTGGGATTTGAACCACAGTCCACTCCATGGAAGTGCAGTGACATAACCATTACACCATCTACTAGTCCTGTGATTTCTTTCTAAAACTTACCCTTTTTATTAGAAATTTAATTCTGGGATCTGTGATGTCTATATAAAATTTAGGCATACAGAAATACAAATGCATTCAAGATATGAGAAATTACAAAGATTTTATTAGATAAACAAAGCCTGGAGTTTACCATAACATATCACCAAAATAAAGCTTCCAGAACCGAGAATAATGTCTTTTGATTTTTATAACCATAAAAAAATACATGCTCAAATGTATGGCATAATGTGCTATATTTATATTAGCCAAATTCAGCAAATAATAATAAAAATGGGGCCAGTCAGTGGTGTGATGATTAAGGTATCTGGATCCCACATGGCTGACTGTGCAGTCTGAGTACAGAACCTGCTGATTTGAAAAGCATACTGGGCACATGTGTGTGTGTGTGCCTACAATCCCTACAGGAGGAAGAAAAGAAGGGATTGCAGTGTGGTCATCCACCCATGGGGAATGCTTTCTCATTTTCTCTGTTTCTCTCCTGGCAAGCACATACACACTCTAGCAAATTAAAATAATAAATAATAAAAATGGTGGACACTATCTATCAGTACTATCAGTATTTTACATGTATTTATCTCATTTAACTACCATCACAGTTAGAAGGTATTTATCCTCAGAACTACCTTTGGAGCTAGATACCATTATCCTCATTACATAGATGAGAAAACAGAGGCCCAGAAAGACAAAGAACTAGTGTAACACTTAGAAATAATAAAATGGAAGAATGAGTTAAGAAAATTGTCTTAAAATTGCTAAAACATTTTTTAAGTTTTATTAGAGACATATCTTATATCATGGACCAACATACTTGTTTTCTACACTGTCTTTACAGAAGTGCAAATAAAGATTAGTACTTATGACCAACCTTTATCAAAAAGACTTGGCAATCACTGATATAGTCATATTCCAATCCATCAAAAGAATGATAATGCCTGTCTCCATAAATTGTACACACTGCTGGGCACGGATAATATGTGCAGTTGAACATTCCTCGTCGACAGACACTATGAGAAAATAATAAAAGTTACCCTTCTAAGAAACGTGGCTTAGGTAGTCTTTTCAAGTGACATAAACATTGAAAAGTTTGTATTCAATTGCATTTGCTGATCCAATAAACCCAAGAAATATTGTTTATTCATTCTAACACTTATTATGTTAATAAATTAGGGCTATATTTATACTTTGTTTAAATAAATTATCCAAACCCAAGCCTAGAAATTATGCCAGGGTCACACAAGAAATAGACATTGGAATTTAAAAATGGAATGTAAGTCTGCTGGTGGCCTAAAGACTATAATACCATTTCCTGTTTTCAAGTCAATTTAAATTCATTAGACTCAATGTTGTTCATAAGTTTAAAATCTTTTCCTCTATTTTAAAAGAAAAAATATTGCAAATTTTATGTTATAGTATTGTTTTGACTCATTTCCAAACAGATAACCTTTCGTTAAGTATGATTTCCTGTTTAGAACATTTAGCACTTTCTTATAAACTTTAAATTTTTTTCCTATTAAATTTTCAGGTTGTCATATTTCACACTTTTCTCCAGTGCTAAACAAATATACATAAAAACATAAAAATATATTATTATATATACGTCCTGCAGATAGTAGCTTTTCCATTGATTCCCAAATGCCTTGATTTGCCTTTTTTTTTGGTATAGCAACATTGAGTAAATACAAGAAAAACGAATGCATTTGCTTAAGGGAATTTTATGAAATAAGTAGATCTAGTTACCAGGTATAACATGGTGTAGCAATCACTTCTCCTGAGAGGTACTCCCAATCTTTCCAGATACATGGACAGCTTTCAGGGACATAGCACTTCCCTTTGTGCTCTGCCATTCTTAAAAATTAAAAGGTATAATGCCATTTAGTATAAATCAATCTTAGTTTTTAAAAATTGGTAATTTTGTTATATTCAATGCTGAATGTATTTATTGTAGCTAAGCCATATTCTATCTTTCCAAGGGTTGAATCTATTTTTCCTCATTTTTGTCCAGAGGATACCTTACACATCACAGTATTAAATATATGCTAGGCAAGTCATTATATGTGATATTTTGAGCTTTTTATTATTTATATAATACAATAAAAGGAAAAATGGAGCCTAAATTTCTAATAAAGTGAGTCATTCTGAAAACGCATTTAAAGTACAAGTGAGGGGCCCTTTTTTATCACCATTGGCTACTGAAAAGCCTACAGGAGTCTAACAATGTTTTTGATACACTAGTAAATTATGAAATGGGTAACATTTTTCTTACGATATATATAGACTGAATAAAGTCTTCTTTCTGAGTGCTTAGGGCTACAATCATGAGGTATATTTTGAGTTAAAAATCATTGTATCATGTGTTTCACACTGTCTATTATTAACATATTAAGTTCTGAATGTTAGTTTTCTTTGAAGTGTTATTTCATCCTTGAAAGATTACCCCAAACAAGTATCTAAAAATATCTTTGAATGCAAAAATTAAAATACATACCAATTTTATGTTTAAATATAAAATTTAATATTTGTTTTAAATTTTAAATGTTTATTAATATTTAATTTATGCTTCAATATAAAAATTAGCATGTATTTTAAATATTTATTACTATTTAAATACAACATTTAAACAAATAAAAAATTTTAAAATGAAAATTAAACTCATAACCTCCTGAAAAAGTTTAGGGCATTCTCAAAATGTTTTGCAGGTCAACCCCATAGCACAGTAGTTAAAGGAATCAGATTCCACATGGCCCGTTCCGGATTAAATCCCAGTCTAGTGACTGGTAGCTTGATAACCACATCAGGTGCATGTGCGTGCGTATTCAGAACCTGATAGGATGGAGAAATGGAAGATGAGGATTGCTGCATGGCCACTCCTCATTGGGGAATATTTGCTCTCTTTCTCTCTTCCTCATTTTCTCTCTGCCTAGTTAGCACACATGCCCTCTGACAATTAAAAATATATGTTAATTTTTTTACTGAAGATTATATAAGCATATATTGGGTTGTCGGAAAAGTCATGACGTACTTTTTCTACACAAAGATGTGTCATGACTTTTATGACAACCAATACAATACATATTTCATTACCTTTCATATAAATAAATGTACATATACAATTCCAATACTCTATATAAGTTGGCCACTTATCTGTGTGCAGGATCTGGCCACGTATTTATCAATATTCACATGATAAAACATGCCCTACATTTCATAATTTCTCATGTTAACCCTCCCACGCTTCTTGCTACTTCCTTGGATTTTGAATTTTCTCCTACCTTGAAAATCCTTCTTCTCTGAACTACCTGGAAAATTTTTTGTCATTTGAGCCTCATTTAGTGCAATCTTTTATGTCCCCAACTTCCTTAAACACTCTATAAAGTTAGCAATCTGTACACATCTTTGCCAGAACAGGCATCACGATAAACTATTAAGTATATCAGTATGTTATAGCAGTAAAAAAAACAACACTAAAAAACTAATACTGTTGATTGCTTACTATGCTCCAGACACAATTTTAACCACTTTAAATATATCACTAACTCATTTTATTCTATGGACAATCTCCTAAGGTAGATTCGTTATATATACGTATCTTAGTACCTTCCCCCAACCACACCACCTCAAACATTAGGTGTTTCCTAAACTTTGGATGTCCAATTGTCTAGGTGAGGGATGTCTCAACTAAATGAACCACAATCCCCACACATTCAGACAAAGTTATGGTTGTAGGTAGTTATACTGATGACTGATACTTTTTTCACAACTACTCAAAACTGAAAGAAGGAAGAAGAGATCTATAAATCACTGTAAATTAATTTTCTGCCTTAAGTAGGGTTGAGCAGTGAAGTAGGTAAAATGAATGGACCAAGCAGCTGTCATATAATTGGTGTACTGTATATACCCAACCATACATGAAATAAAACTTACTATGGCCTTTTATTTCCTTAGGTTTTTGCCATAGGGCACATGTGCTTGACAGAGAGGTAAACTAATAAATCAAACTCCTCTCCGCCCCTCACCCCCTGGGAGATGGTCACACCATAATCCCTTCTCCGCCATTCTCCCCTCAGGATCTTGGGTACACATGCACTGGAGCCTGGAGTGATTTTCAAGCCACAGAGTCTAGGACTTCGAACCATAGTCAACTACCATGCCACTGTCTGTCATGCAAAAACGTTCATTTTTAAAAGAGGAGCTTGAGACTCCAAATGGGCAAGTAATTTGCCTTAAGGTACATTAGCTAATAAGGAGGACTAATATTTGACACCATTTTTATTCAGCTCTTTTCGCTATACATTTCATTTCTTCGATCCACAGTGATTTCTAAATTAGTATTATGTGGTCCTTTTATAGTCAATGAACTCCTGGCACTAGCAGGAGCCCCATACAAACAAATGATATTAGTCTATATCCTAAAAGGAATCAGATAGTAGTATCGCAAGGAAGACAAGGCAAATCACATTACTATAAATGACTTTAAAATAGAAAGTTCTGTCACAAAATTATTTTCATATCATTTATTAGTCTCTAAGTAAATTCTATTTATTTCAATGTAATCATACAAAGTGGAAGAGAATTTCTTCAAGTTTTTATAAAAGACATTTGGCCAGTAAATAAATTATTGTTCAACTAATTGGCAAAGGCGATAGTACATAAATACAAAGGGTCTTCAAAAAGTTCAGGGCAGCTGAGCTCCATTAAACCTTGTGCACAGGAGTCATATTCCAGATGGCTGACTGCAGTTTGAATCCTGCTCTTTATGGCTTGAAAAACACATCAGGCATATGTGTGTTCATGTCCAAAATTCTGATAGGATGGAGAAATGGAGAATAGAGGACTGCAGTATTACCAAGCCCTATTGGAGGAATGTTTACTGTGGTGTCTGTGTGTGTGTGTGTGTGTCTTTCTCTGTCTATCTCTGGCAAGCACATATGCCCTCTGGCAATAAGAAAGTGAATTTTTTTTTATATTCATGAAAACAGATATTATGAAAAAACTATGTAGGAATTTCATCTCATTTTTGCACTAAAATAAACTTGCCCTTTAATTCTATTTTTCCATAAACTTTTTGAAGTCTCCTCATACATATTTTCAAATGAGAGTATCAAATACAGCATATGACATAAAGAACAGAATAGGGCTTTAGTCAGCCATACATCCCTAAGAGTCATAATCAAATCACAAAAGCCAAGCAATACTAAAGGTTTCGACTATTTTACCATAAGTAGGGTTTTAATTTCCTTGTTCTGTTTCCTAAAACGTATTCCTTGCTCATCTGTTCTGTGGCCTCATTTCTACCTGTCTTTATTTTCTCGTGCATGGGCACTTACTCTTTTGTGAAATTCTTTTCTCTGCCTCTTATGCCCTTCCTTTCTAAGAAAGACATTTATACCAGGCCCAAGTTACTTGGTTCTTTGACCCATTCCAGATGGGGCTGCTTAGACAAATGCAATTCTCCTGGGAAACAAACCACAAAACCTCTCTCTTTTTTGCTCATGCTTTATACAAGCTGATCCCAAGAATCCCTTTGTGGGAACGTGGTAGTCACGGAAGAATGGGTGATCTGTTTGCCTTGGATGGCCCCACTCTGTGTTGCCTGTATTCGTTATCAGCAGGGGAAGGGCCAATGAGCCCAGATTATATGAGTGCCTGCAAGAAAGCTAAAAGCCACATGAGTACTAGGCATTTCTGCAACTAAAATTTATAAAGACAAGAGTAGATTTGGCTGCCATAAAATAGTAACTCGTATTTATTGAGTACACGCACTCTCACACACACATACCACATCTTACAACGCATGACTGAGGCTTAAAAAAAATAAAACCTGAGACCAGTGGATGACATAATGGTTACATCACTGGACTTACATGTAGTCAACTGTAGTTCAAGTCCTGGACCTAGTGGCTTAAATTCATTCCAGCCGTGTGTGTGTGTGTGTGTGCCCAAAATTCTGAGAAGAAAATGGAAGAGAAGGGACTGTGGCATGGCCATCCCCCATAGGGGAGGATTTCTTGCTTTCTGTCTCCCTTTCTCTCTCCCTCCCTCCCTCCCTCCCTCTCCCTCATCCCTTCCCTCCCTCCCTCTCTGCTCTCTGGTGAGAGCATGTACCCCATAGCAAAAATCTCTCAAAAAGAAAAAAAAAAAACTTGCAGGAGCCAGGAGGTAGTGTAGTGGTTAAGGTAATGAACTCCCACATGGCCCACTGCAGTTTGAGACCTGGACATGGCAGCTTGCTTTGTCACTTTCTCTTTCTCTGGTGAGCACATGGGCCCTATAGCAAGTTAAAAAATAATACAAATAATAAACAAAATTTAATAAATTCTAAAAAAAAAAATCTTGCAGAAAAATCACTTGGCAAACAGTAGCAGAGCTGGGAGTTCAGTGCTAGCACTAGTGTATGTGAAGACAGAACTTTCACTCTCATCCCCTGCCCTATGCGGCCTCAATACAGCTGTAATAGCATCACTGTCACAACTTAGCATCAACAAGAGTAACTGTACAATGTACAAATATATGTACTTGAGGTGTGTTTTGAATGAAGAGTGATTAATTGTGTCACTTTCCCAAAACTCCAGTTAAATCAAGGAAGAAGTTACATTTATCCTGAACTGAGATCAATTCAGTGTCTTACTTTAATAATATCTCACAATGTAACATAGGCCTACCAAAAATAATTACAATAGTCTTTTAGTTAACAACCCAAAGTTATCCACAAGCCTGCTCAACAATTTTGGGTATTTTTATAAATAATATTTTTAAGATACCTTGTACTGTCTGTGAGATCCTGAATATTCTGTATTATCAAGAAAGAGAGGCTTACCCTGGAGCACAGACACAGCCACTTATACAGGGTGAGGATGGGGCACAGGTGAAATTCATGGCCAGGTTTGCACACGTGGTCTCACAGTTTATACCGCCAGCCGGCAATTCAGGGTCAGGAAATCTGCAGTCAAAGTACTGTTTTCCCTCTGGGCAGACTTGAACTTCAGAGATAAAGCACAGATGAATTGCCCTTACCTAAGTATTTGCTCCTCAGACAAATAATCATGGGGTATGCATTTGTCATCAAATCAAAACTCACCATTGAATGATCAGATGGTACTCACACTCTGCAACTGTTAGCTTATACGTATTCCCTAGCCAGATTCCCTTTAGTCAGGGAAACTTCCCAAACCTATTTTGAGTTTAAAAACATTAGCTGCCTTCCAAAAGGAAATAACTAGATAAATACTATATAATTTTCTGAGGTCCAAAGACAGGATTTTGACTAATCCAATACATATTACCCATTTGTTGAGGACTAAGAATACAGTATATTTACAGTTTTACAAAGCCACAATGAACACACGATGTTTTTACTTCATCTAGATTTTACTTCATCTCTGAGGCATTACCCATCATTATACTGTAGAAGTCGTTAATTTAAGAAGGGCAGTGGCTACAGATTCCTCCAGAAAGCGTTTGGGCTCTCAGGGATCAAGTAAGTTTCCTTACATGGGACAAAAGGGATCAAATCTTGTGGATTCCTCTGTTAGTGGCTCCCTGGACTTTCCTTCTTTAGCTCTGAGTCACCCTGTAGCAAATGGCACAAAGCAGGGATGGCCCTACAGCCACCAAATACACAGGGACATAATTTGTACAGAAACCCTAACCTAGATTGAATCTTCAGGGCATATAATTCAAAGCTAATTGATATTCATATATACTTGGCCCTTCAAATAAATAACAAAGCAACAGCCCACAACTATTTTTTATCAGCCTACACTCCTTCTGCCCAATGACATGAAAGAAGTGTTGCTTATTATTTGGTTAGAATTCTTCATAGTACCTGACAATGGGAGACTCTTTTTTAAAAGAGTGAAAATAAACAACACACAGAGTCATTAATACACAGCATCTTTAAAAAAGACATTCAAGTGTAAAATGACATCCTAAAGAATGTCAGTAGATGTCATTTTGTACACCATTTTCAATTGATTGCTACTAGTCCCAGAGCCTCGCTGCTCCCAGTGTAGCCCAGGAACCTGACATCACCATGGACACTGACAGAAATGCAGAATCTCTGGTTTCACCCCAGATCTGCTAAATAAGAATCTACATTTTAACAAGATTTTCAGATGACTGTATGTACATTAAACTCTGTCAAGTGCAGATCTACAGTAGACTTTCCCAATTTCTGATCTACAGCAGGGGTGTGGATAATGTATCTGAAGCCTTCAGGGGCCTGTGATGTTCCTGGGGGTTGTCAACATTCATGGGTTGATTAGCTTGCCCCTGAAGAGCCTTATATGTTCACCCCAAATTGTCAGCAAATATTATAATTATCAGTATGAAAAAAGTTAGGAAGCACTGAAGCACTGTGTTGAGAAACATTCCCAAGGCAATATCCACACACTTTGGCACAGAGGACTGTGGTGGACTGATGACTTCTGCCAGAAGAGCAGGGCCAATACTCTTAAGAACGTCAGTCTCATAAGAAAAACATTCTATGGGAACTTACCAGTAGAGGGCGTTGCTGATTCATCACATTCCACAGTCCCATTAGAACACTGGCTAGAAATAAAGAAACAGTTCATGCATGAACCCAAACCTTAGATTTTCTGTATTTTGAAAGCAATCTAATGTGCAAGAGTTGACTAAGTACATATACAAACGTTATTTTATCCCAAATAATTTTTTGAAAATAATGTATTGCCATAGGTCTAATCTGAAAACACCTATTTCAGTTTGACAAATTTCTATCAAAGACCTGTACAGGTGAGGAACTGTGATAGTCATGGGAAATACAAAGGCCATAGACATTACCCAACTGCTTATATTATAGTAGGGGAGGAAGATGAATAATAATTTATGCCATGTGATGCATACAACATAGAAATATGTTTACAAGACAAAATTAAAGCAAAGAAAACAGTTTAAAAATCTGTTAGCAACTGACATCAGGCCAAAGGAAGGAACATTCAAACAATTTTGAAGAACAGATCGATGTTATAATATAGACAAGGTAAGAGGGCTCTAAAATTCCATAGTGGGAACCAGCAGTTGGTGTAATGGCTATGTCGCTGGACTCCCATGTAGTCGACCGCGGTTCACGTCCCAGACCCGGTGGCTTAAAACTCACGCCAGGTACGTGTGCGTGCGTGCCTAAGATCCCGAGAGGAGAATGGAGGAGAAGGGATTGCAGTGTGACCATCCTCTCTGGTGGGTGATTTCTCGCTTTCTGTCTCTTTGTCTCTCTCTGTCTGTCTGGCGAGCGCACACGCCCTATAGCGAAAACCTCTCAAAAAAA